ATCTTTGAAAAATTTGTTGTTAAGAAGCTTCTTGCTGAAAAGGAAAATATCCTCAAGCAAGAGATTATTCTTGTACCTTGCAATTCCATAAACTCGTGATAAAGGCGTGATGATGTTGCACAAAAGCACTGCTCATGTGTTTTCTATGGTCCTGTCACTCTATTGGGAAATGGCCCTTTTGAGATTGAGGAACTGGACGAGATAGAATCTATTTTTAGAAATGTTACTAAAAAGGCCAATTAAACATGACTTACAGTACACATTTCATGTACACGTAGCGTTCTTTAAGATGGAGGTTTCTACATACATATATATTCGTTGTTACAGTACTTTATATTTGGTCTTTCAGGGTACATGGTTGTTATTATTGTTGATCGTCATCTCACAAGTTTGAAATTTAAAAACTAGAAGAGATTCATTTGTAGATATCTCAAATGAGCAGAAAAGCTTCTGTCTTTATATCAAATATTGGACTTATAAATTTCTATTAGCTAATTACAGCATGTCTTAAATAAATGATGATGTTTTCGTAGACGACATTTTAAATTGTAAAGTTTTTCAAAACTTGTTATGTTGCAACACAATAACTACTGGTGGGTAATTATAATATATAATTATAGCTTTAGAACATCTTATAATGCTTTTCATTAAAATTATCTCAGGATATCTTAGTGAATCTGTAGGTTTTTTAGAGGATTTTGATTTTTTCCAAAATTGTCATGTCCGCAACGGTCATGTCCGCAACGGTCATGTCCGCAACGCAATATCTCTTAATACATTAACATATTTGAGCAAATTAGGGTGGCAAAATTATCACAATAACAAACTAAAAGAGCAGCATAAACAATATATGAAATAGTTGAAAATCTATTTGTAGAAATGAAAAAGAATTCCTTTAGGCATACCCTGAATGTCATGTCCGCAACACATTTTTATGTCTTCAAAAGTCAAAGAAAATAAGATTTTTTGAAAAAAAAATTTTTTTTCATTGAAAGGCCAACTCAAATGGACAGTTAACATCTAAGTATAAAATTCACTGCATTCATTTTCTTTATGTCATAACAAATCTAATCATTTGCAGGTAAAATTGATTTATTCTGCAAATAAAAACCACCAAAAAGATAGGCACAGCCCACTTTGGGCGTGGCCTTCAGCCACAATTTAACTTCAGATTCTTATAGCCCAATGTATTGGCTTTAAGTTGAATCGATTTCGACTGCCAGATTTTGAATTTTAAAAAATGTAATTTTTTCATGTCTCATGTGGAATTGCCCTAAACTTAACTCTTTTTGCTTATGCATTTTTACGAATCTTTAGACTCTGAAGGCAATTATGCAACCAAAGGCTGTTCCCATAACACAAGCTTGGATGAAAAATGCTTCAAAGCGAGGTAAGTTATAGAATTCATTGATTATTTGTCACTAGGTAAAAAAAAACTATTTGTCACTAGCTTAAAGGAACCTATCAGGGACTAAGTTCCTTTCAGCTAGAGGTAAATGATAAATTCATTACTTTAAATTTCATCATATATTATACTAGAGGTAAATTATTAGTAGTAGAGGGAAATTATGATTTGCACGACCAGAAAATTCAAAGAGAATGGAAAAAATATGACAGTATGGCATGATGAAGTCCCAAGTTGAGCAAAATGATAAATTTAGAATTTTTTACTAAGGCCAAGTAAGAAAGAAAAATGTTTACCGTCCCAGCTCACTTTTTTTTTTTGGAGGGTAGGGGGGGCACCTATCTTTTTATTATTTGTTATTGGAAAAATCCTGGAAAACAAAAAGCAACAGAAGTTACTTTAACTTTGTACCCAGTTCCCCTAAATTGGGTACAAAGAGAGTAATATGTAAATAAACATGGCAATTGTCTGCATTTTGATTAAATAAAAAGTTAGTAAAGATTTTAAAAAGGTACCTGCCCGCTCTCTTATTTATTATAGAAATCCAGATGAGGAAAAATTTTTTAATTTTTATTTGGCTTAATCCATTAGTTATGGTAAAACATCTGACACTAGTGTTAAACTAATTGTTCATTGATAATGAATAATGTATGGTATACAGTGTCGTTCTAAGTTCTAATTTCTGCATGATCATTTATTCATATATTAACTAGATGTGACAGCTGTAACAAAGTTCCTTGAAGATGCTCAAGAGAATGGAGAGCTGGAAAAGGTATTTCCATTAAGATTTTAGCATTAAACTTAAACGACTTTAATATTTAATAAATATGTTATACACTGTACATTACTTTTCTCCTCATTTTTGATATTGCTTCAATAATTTCAGACTGTCACCACTACGTTTAAACCAGACATTGCTCCAGCAGTCAATAGGTGGTTGAAACAAGCAGGCAATGAAGGTACTAGGTTCTTTTTTAAAAAGATGGTTAGATTTTCCAAATGAAACTTAACAGAAAAAGAAAACTCATGTGTGAAGATGTGTGAATAGACCTCTACACATTGGGCGCAATGTTTTCCCATTTCAGACCACGTGTCACTCCCTTGAGAATAAGATTCTTTGTTTGAGCTGTATCAATATTCATGTGTCTTCTCAAGTGCAACTGAGTGCAAACCTTAAACAAAAAAATGATACTCTAGGGAATGAAATGTGGTCTGAAATGGGAAAACATTAGGTCAGAGCCGAAGAGGTCTATTAGGCAAAATTTCATGCCAAACATTGCTACAAATAACAGCTGCTCAATGGCTGGACATGACCACAGGCCAAATCCAACTAATAAACATGTGACTACATTTACATTTACCAGTTAGGTCATTCGCTCAATACTGAGCATTTTAGACCATACTAAATATCCAAAAAATAGTCAAAAACTGGCCGCAGAAGTGCCAATTTTGGCTGGACATTGTCTTTTTACCAGCAATAGACTTTTCCTAATGGAATACAGAATGTCCAACCAACAAACTAAGTGGTTATCAAATTTGTTATGTACATTTAGAATGCATTGTTTCTGAGTTACAGTAGACATTTACAATTTTCAGCAATGTTTCTGTTCCATGCTGTATATCAAAAACACATTAATTTTCAGCTTGTCCTACAAAGCAACAGTAACTAGGGAGATAGAATAATGAATGCAGGATCAGTGTAATAGGTTTAGCCCTGCTGAATTTCAAGTTTTTCTTCCTTTTTTTTATTTACAGAAAGAGAAGCAGTAATGAGACTTATCCAGACCCTATCATCAGATCCTTACCAAGAAGGATACATTAATCCTAAGCATGCAGGTCAACTAGACCCAGATCGTTATCTGCTGGGGAAATATACCTTAAAAGACAGCACAAGAGACCTTACTTATGATGTCAACCCTGATTATCGACGAAAAAGGACTGAATTTTCAAGGGTTCCTGCCTCCTTCTTATGATGATCTTATTAACCTCATACTTAATGTAGTTAAAATAAACTTAGGGACTTAGGACAGTTGAAAGAAATTAGGTCAAAATTAATAGCAAGATCTAGATACAAGTTTTATGGGATAATATAAACTTGAATGTTTCCTTGCACAAAATTCCCAAAGCTTATTATTATTATTATCAAATTTCTGAATACTTGCCAATTAATTGCTGATTGTTGCTGCAATGTTTTCCCATTACAGACCACTTGTCATTCCCTGGAGTATCATATCTTTGTTTGAAGGTTGCCCATTAGAAGACACATGAACATGGATACAACTCAAACAAAGAATCTTATTGTCAAGACGTGCCATTCCCTAGAGTATCATTTCTATGTTTAAAGGTTGTGCTTGAGAAGACACATGAATATGGCTACGACTCAAACAGAGAATCTTATTCTCAAGACCATGTGTCATTCCCTAGATTATCCTTTCTTTGTTTAATGGTTACACATGAGAAGACACATGAATATGGATACAACTAAAACAAAGAATCTCATTCCCAAGAGAACGACATGTGGTCTGAAGTGGGAAAATGTTTCACCACAACAAGTTAGGTCTATTACAATGCCAATCTTTACGGATCTCGTGAACTTCTCTCTAATCAGTGTGCTGTAGGCATAAGGAGGAATAGACCCCTTGCAGTACGTCTGAATGCAGCTCAATTTGGAGGACATGACAATAGGTTTCCAGTTCTCATGAGATTGGAATTCTTTTGTTTTGTCCTCCAAACTGAGCTGCTTTGGCGTCACATCCAAGGTGTCTATTGATGTTAACTGTACACAAATTTGCCTTGTAACAGTTACAATTATTAACTTCCCTTTCCTTCTCTTTATTTCTATGTCTTTCCATTTCTTCCAAATGTACCTAAAACATTATTACACCATCCCGGAGAAAAAAGTTTATTGATATACAACTTATTTAAAAAATTACACTTATTAGGCTATTTTTATTTAATTCTTGACCTCGTTCATTTGTAATATTTGTGTGTGATTTAAATATAATTTAGATAAATTTTTATCTACTGATGGGTTGCGACCATTTTCGAGAGAGTTAAAAGAGACCTGGCAGCCACGTTGGTGATATTAATCATGATACCAAGGAGCTCGAGGGTGGTGGGAAATCTTTAAAAATACCACTGTCATGGCTGCTACAACATGACATCCATTAAAATTAAAATTATGTGATTATTGTCTATAATTTATCAATAAAAATATTTAAACTATTAAGGTCCATGTTTATGGTGTGTTGTTGTTATTGTCACTTAGTCCTAGGATTTCACAGTTATGTCCTACAGGTAAAGTTCAAATTCATTACGAAATTGGACTCTTACTTTTTTGTTGTCGCTGTGATACTACACATTTGTATATTACATTTAGGGTGCTCACCTCTTGCAAATGTGACCCAGGTTTGATTCCTGGACTCGGTGTCATGTGTGAGTAGAATTGCTTGTTGATTTTCTTTTGTGCTTTGAGAGAAAATTTATCAACTTTTAAATTCCAATTGATCATGGAACAAGGCATGCCACGTGTTTGTTTACCATTGGCTATAAAATGCCACCCCCGTAAAAACAAGGACCATTTCAAACACACCCTAATGAATTTTAATTAAAACTATTATTTATATGACAAATGATACATGGGTATACCCTCGTAAAAAATTAAAGTTATTGTAATTGAACTGGCAATAACAGTGCAATCTTAGCTTTTGCATATTTTGCAATGCAATTTTTGTGCTTTTGCAACCCAGATGCAACTAGTTATGACAGAGTCGTTTAGGATACTGTGCAGAAGCCTGTATTGATAGCTTCAATAACAATATTGATACACAGATCCTACTACAGTTCAAATAATTTAAAATGATGCATCATGGTCTAGCTTGGGTGCAAACAATACCATATTGATAGAATGCAAATAATATACCCGTGAAATAGGATGAAATAGGAGATAGCACTTAATTAGACAAAACATTGAGGCAAGACAAGGGCACGGGCGTTTACTAGAGTAACAACTCAATACGCAAATGAATAGATATGAAAATGTGAACATGTCAAATTACATACATGTCAAGGAAAAGCATGTACAACAAAATATTGTTTCAGTTTTGGTAAGTGTGTTTAAAAATATTTAAAAATGCGAACCCTTGAGTAGCACACGTACACTAGTTTACCCCTCGCAGCTTGCCTATTTTAACTAATTAGACTTAGGCAACCAAAGGTTAGTAATTAGTTAGCTAGCTATCTATTTCACAGATATATTATTTGCAATCTATAAGATGTGGTAATTTAAGAAAAGATGTTTGTACCCGATATAGACCACAATGCACCATGTTAGCTATCTCAAAAGTATGAATACAGTGTTGAGTGGCCCATTAGAACAATCATCAGTGACCCAGCTTAGTATGTATAATTATTAATTAGATATTATTAACTAAATTTATTACATTATTCATAGTAAATATCAGGATATTGACCTACGTATAGTCAATACCATGGATACATACCTCCTCATAATATATTCATTGGGATGTATATATTATCCGAGAATAAATCCCAACCGACATATTGGGGAAATTATAAACAAGACAGTATAATAAATATTATAATTCCCATAAGTCATCTGCTAGAGGCATTGATGTCTTTTTGCGCTCTTAAAGAATCAATACTATTGAGAGGTCTGTGATAGATATAAAACGTCTTGGTCGGGTCAACCCAGGAACGTAATTCACAGGCAGAAATATCAAAATGTTCAAATCCATATTTCATCCCATTTATAGCAAGTTTGGCAGCAATTTTTGTCAGTGGAGTAGTGTCTGGGTGGTCAATGACTTCGCTGAGGTGCATCCATTCACAGGCCATTATTTCGTCATCACATAATATGACATCATATGTTAATGGTTTCATTCTACATACCACATAGATGTCTGACTTGTCGAATGTTGCTTTCATTTCATGTTGTTGACGAAAAAGAAGAAGAGACTGAAACTCTGATCAGAAATGAAAAAATAGTATTTATAATATGAAATTAATAATGAAAAAAATTATCCATTTTCAAAAATATATATATATATATATATATATATATATATAAAACCGTCCTTTTTTCACTAGGGTAGCACTTAATAGCCAGTGGCTAACAAACCTGTGGCCCTCATTCCATGATTGAATTGGAATTTAGGAGTTGATTTTTGGGGAGGGAGGAAAACCGGAGAACCCGGAAAACCCTCACATCGCTACGCCACATTAACCTTAAAAATTATTAAACCTGCATACCTTTAATATCATTAAACTGACCTGATTTAACTCCAGTTTCTTCGAACACTTCTCTTTCAGCTGTCAGACCTTTAGGCAAAAATATAAACTTCAAAATACTTTAAATAATTATAAAATAGATAAGTAAACATATATTGTAAGATATGTTTAACAATAACTATTTATGGTCCCAGAAAGTATACATATCTTCACCATTTAGTGGGACTAATGTTAAGTACCCTACACATGACAAAGCTAAAAACACTCTAGAATCAAGACAGCAAAGTGAATTTTTGAAGGGAGGGAAAAGGGGCTACTATTTTAGAAAAAAATTGCTTCCAAATTCAAAATGGAGCAATTGCTAAGACAATACATTCCAAGGAGGGGGAAAATGGGGGGTCAGTTAGCCCACCCCCTCCCTCTGCTACTTGTACAGTCCCTGAGATTTACCCTCTAGCTCATATCCTTCCACCTCTTGGAAATTCTTTTTCAGTCCCAACAGGAACATTCGTGACTAGATGTTTCATACAGTTTAATTTTTATTTTCTTGATTTACTGTTCTGTAAATTCTTACCAATGTTTTCTCCCGGGTCTGAAAGACCCCCAGGAAACTTCCAGAACATTTTCTTCGTGGTTCCTATTTTGTACTAAAATGCAAGATAATCATGTTATTTTAGAATAGATAAAAAGATTACATCCTGGAGGTATACACATTAAAAAAAACGGATTCCCAAATTGGGAATTGTTGGGAATCTCCTTGAATTCCCAATTCGAACACCAACTTTGGGATTTATTGTTGGGAATTTCCTTCTAATACCCAATAGAAAAACAAAATTCCCAACAAACTAACATTGGGAATCAGTGCCGCGTTCCCAATTTCATTCTCTCTTGGAATTGGATGGGAATTCGTTGGGAATTCAAGGAAATTCCCAACAAATTCCCAATTTGGGAATCCGTTTTTTTTTTTTCCTGTGATAGGAAAACTTTTAATCTGGGGGGGGGCATGGGGGGCACTCCTATATAGAAAGGCAGGGTTGCTGGAGGTACTGGCTCACTGTCTTGTAGTCCTTTTAGATTTGTGACACCCTAAGATGTACCAATTGAAATTGAAGATCCTGCCCTTCTTCTAACTTGTTGTTTCCCAAAGCAATAATAGATGACTAGTGAAAGCTAGCTTTGGCAGACACTTTGAAGATTTGTACAAGTACAGTACACATAAATTCTATTCAAATCAACCAACCTTCCTTTTGTCTTGTACAACCAGAACGTTTCCACTACTTTCATTAAGAACCAGACCTGAAGGAATTAGAAAACATGTTGTAAGACTGTGAAGGTATTAAGAAAAGACAGTATAAAGTTGCCATTAACTCAATGTTAGAGAACCTTTCCAGCTATTTCAAAAATATTGAAGAGGTGAAGTGCAAATGGAGATGTGTGAAAGGCGATTGCATAAACAAAAGAAACCATTCCCCCTGCAACCTTTTTTTGAAATGTAGGAAAAAATCTTCTTTATGAGAAATTGTCTGAGAAAAGGGGTTGATAATTTCTGGAACTTTATTGTATAAAATGGTGTTTTCAAATGACATCACAGCTGCCATATACAGGTGCACCTCTGACAATAACTATCCCATTAATACCCCCCCACCACACACACACACACACACATACACACACTCTGAGGACTTTTTTAATACAACCCCCTAGCCCCGGAAATTCCAATTTTCTTCCACACAAACTCTGTAATTTTGTTCTTTCTCTGCCCCCCCTCCCCCCTTCCCCACCCCTCAGAAATTACTAATTCCTATAAAGGGTTGGGGAGGGGGGGGTATGAGTTAGCTCTCTAGGGACTGAGTGAAATGCTCCATACATACCTGACACCCCAACATGGTGTGTAGCATATACAGGTACTTTGCACTCTACTTTCTCTGGTAACCATTGAAACAACATTGCATAATCCCCCTCGGCATGGTGATAGACAAAGCCATTCTTGAATGCTGATGGGATCAGATAACTCTTCTTGACAGGTACCTTGACCCACATTGATCTTTTTCCATCATCCTCCCATTTCTGTATGTCATCTGTGTTAAAAAATATTTAAAATTATAAATTTATATGAATTGGGGACTTGCAGTCTAGGATCAACTAATGCACCTTCTCACACTGTTTTGCTTCTGCATTTTAGGGCCCATGGCAGGGGAGGGGGGGAAGCAGATTGATTGGCATGGGCCTCTCATCTACATCATTAATTATTCAGTATGTACATGATACCCCATGGAGAATCCTGCAGGCACAGCTGGAGGAGAGAATATTCAAACTAAATACTAGAAAAAAAAGGAAAGATTTGAGTGAAAGAAGCAGTTCTGCATAAAACTTGGACTATGATTACAGTCACATTAATATCCTGGCCTGTACAATACTACAAATCAAATATTTTCTATGGCGTATTTTAGTCGGTCAAAGGTCAGTTCAGCTTACTCTATGGCATATTTTAGTGGATCAAAGGTCAGTTCAGCTTACCCCTGAGTATTCTCGAGAATTCTCTGGTATCTATGCTTTCTGGCAGTTGTTCTAAGTCAGTCTGGATTCCATTGAACGCGACGCGTTGCCATTTTAGCTGCATCAGTTCTATACTCGTAGAAATATTTCTGACAATTACTTTCCTTAGAAGCTGAGAGTGGATTCCACTCTTTAGGATACTATTGAACATCTTAATCGTGAAGTGAACAATTATTATCTTAAAGAAAGATAGATATTTTCAGTCTTGAATCTTCAGATTTCATAACATAATGTTATGTTGACTGAAGGGCGCCATTTTGTATTCAAACCACAGGAAGCCCAACCAAATCATTATGGGGCTGTACTGCCGAATGGAAAGAGCGGGAAACCTGTCTCTATGGTGATAGCATGCAACACAGAGTCGAACTACCACCCAACTCTGCGAACTCCTCGCACGCTCTCCCCCACAAACATACACTTTCACGACCTACACATTTCCGTATCCTGTTAAATCAGTTTATTAATTTTGCCACATATCGTTACCTATATATAGTAAAATTTTTACATTTAACATTTGAATAAAAAAATGGATATATTTCCTATCAATTTTTAACAGTTAGTTTCAATTCACGATCAATAATTTTTGTTTCAAAAATAATAACAAAATACATCAAATGATGTTATGTTAATCTGTTATTTATACAGTGCACTAAATATGTTAAAGAAATCTCTGATAACTACAAGGGGTTTTAAGGGGGTAAAATGGGAATAATAATGAAAGGAAGAAAAGCATGGAAAAATGGGATTTGATGTATTAAAACAGGCTTAGAGTAAGAAGTATTAGAATTGCCATGAGATTGGGATTTCTGTAAAATGCATAAATTTATATGGGACTGGGATTTTACTAAATTGAGGATGGAAATAGACCTCTTCGGCTTGGGGTAATGTTTTCCCATTTCAGAAGACGTGTCATTCCCTTGAGAATAAGATTCTTTGTTTGAGCTGTATCCATATTCTTGTGTCTTCTCATGTGCAACCGAGCACAAACCTTAAACAAAGAAATGATACTCTAGGGAATGACATGTGGTCTGTAATGGGAAAACATTACGTCAGAGCCGAAGAGGTCTATTGGTAATGGAAAATGGGATTTTAGAACACTTTTTTGCATTCACAAAAGTTGGGCCTCTATGTTTAGACAATACAGTTCCCTATTAATAAATTTGAGATCACTGAATAAATTGTTTTAATCTATACTTCTTTTAAAGTGTTATTAGTGGGAGGAAGCAATATTAGAGAAGAAAAAGAGCACATCTTTAATGGTATATTCCAGTGTTATCATGGAGCCAGGGTAACATCTGTTGATCAGGTCTACAAAGTTCTTGTACTGCTCAATGAATTCCTTCTGCATCGAGTTCCAAACCACCTGTTTCATAGAAAGAAAGGAAAAATGAATGGATGGATGGATGGATGGATGGATGGATGGATGG